TGGGTTGACTGATAGAAGTCAGGTAAGACACTAAATTTTTGGGAGTCACCACTTGGATCCCCTGCCAACTCGGTTTAAGACACACAGGTGAGTCGTTTTCAATGGCGCACCACTGGGAAGTGCGGACAGAGTCTCGCATGAGGATCTGTCAAACCAGCCCACAGCCTGCTGCTGCCTGATGTGTGGTACAGAGAATCTCCTTATAGACATCCAAATGGTCTTGACTTTCCCTCATGCCTGTGACCGAAATCACAGCGCTATGACCAAACCAATCCATCTTCTTCTTCACTTTTTCTTTTACCGCTGTGGGTGTCGAGGGAGATATAAGGTTTTGTCTCTAGCTCTTCTGGCCGTCTTGACCATAGGCACATCGTGCTGTTGTAGAGTTTCTCTGATGTTATCCTTCCATCTTGTTTTTGGTCTACCTCGTGCTCTACTTCTTTCTTCTCTTTCTATGTATGCTTTGTATGGTATGGTGTCACAAGGCATTCTCTCTAAGTGGGCAAACCATTTCACCTGCTGTCTTCGTATGTAATTTAGAATTGGTTCTGTGCCGACTTTTTCTCTTTTGATCTCATTCCTGATCTTATCTCTTATGGTCACTCCTACAGCCCTTCTCAGACATCTCATCTCCATGATTACTAATTTTCTTTTATGGTTTGTTGTGAGTGACCATATCTGGCACTGGTAGCACAGAGTTGGAATAAATATGCTTTGAATAAGATGTCTCTTTGTGCTGATTGGGATTGTCTGTAATTATTTTGATGCATGATGTTTTCTCGTAATCAGATACAATATTGTCCCACTTGGACAGTTAAGTTGGTGGCTAACCTTAGCAAGTCAAGAAGAAGATACTATCAGTCCAGTGTAAAAAAAAAAAAAAATGTTTTTATTATTGCAAGACCTTTCAATGGAGCTCCTATGTTCCTCCATATATGAATAAACAGGTGCTGTCCCGTAAATTGGAGCTCAACACCCAATTTACAAAAGGATATGCTTTTATGCTTAAAAGGCATTTGGCATCTTGTGTTGTGGTTTACAGCTAAGATTGCAATACCAGCCTCTAGGCAATGGGTACCAGAGTTAACGCTCTGGGATTAAATGGAGGAACGTCACTGTAGCTACTGAGTTGCGTGCAGATGACGGCACAGGAGGACAGTTTCTTGTCAGCTGTCCGTACTGGTGGCCGAGCACTTATGGTTTATAACTGTGTGCAATGATGTTGGTTCACATCTCCCTACTTTACTTACCTTTACACTGGGACATCTGCCGAGGGACATGCATTTAGGTGCCTAAACAGATTCCATTAACTCTCAGGAAGGCTAACATGGGCAGCAAATGCCCCAAGAAGTTAAATGTGTCTACAGAAAAGCCCAGATATTGCAAGCCATGCTCTAAACAGGTGGATAAACAGAAATCCAACCAAACAAATGTTTGATGTCATAAGAAAAGCAAGTTTCATCATTCGTCCGATTGGGTTCTGATAATAAAACACATAAATAAAGAGAAGAATATTACCATTTCTTCCAAAATATGTATGTTTTAAAAAGCATCATCATTAACCCTGGCCACAACTACAACCGTACCAGCAAGCTGACACTCACAGACCCATATTTATACACACACACATGTACACAAGGAATTTTCACACCAACCCACACCTCTTTCCATGCAACACTCACATGACCCATGTCACACACATACACAAGGAATTTTCACACCAACCCACACCTCTTTCCATGCAACACTCGCATGACCCATGTCACACACATACACAAGGAATTTTCACACCAACCCACACCTCTTTCCATGCAACACTCGCATGACCCATGTCACACACATACACAAGTTCCATTTTCACACCAACCCCACACCTCTTTCCATGCAACACTCGCATGACCCATGTCACACACATACACAAGAAATTTTCACACCAACCCACACCTCTTTCCATGCAACACTCACATGACCCATGTCACACACATACACAAGGAATTTTCACACCAACCCACACCTCTTTCCATGCAACACTCACATGACCCATGTCACACACATACACCAGGAATTTTCACACCAACCCACACCTCTTTCCATGCAACACTCGCATGACCCATGTCACACACATACACAAGGAATTTTCACACCAACCCACACCTCTTTCCATGCAACACTCACATGACCCATGTCACACACATACACAAGGAATTTTCACACCAACCCACACCTCTTTCCATGCAACACTCACATGACCCATGTCACACACATACACCAGGAATTTTCACACCAACCCACACCTCTTTCCATGCAACACTCGCATGACCCATGTCACACACATACACAAGGAATTTTCACACCAACCCACACCTCTTTCCAAGCAACACTCAAATGACCCATGTCACACACATACACAAGGAATTTTTCACACCAACCCACACCTCTTTCCATGCAAAACTCGCATCATGACCCATGTCACACACATACACAAGGAATTTTCACACCAAACCCACACCTCTTTCCATGCAACACTCACATGACCCATGTCACACACATACACAAGGAATTTTCACACCAACCCACACCTCTTTCCATGCAACACTCGCATGACCCATGTCACACACATACACAAGGAATTTTCACACCAACCCACACCTCTTTCCATGCAACACTCACATGACCCATGTCACACACACATACACCCAGGAATTTTCACACCAACCCACACCTCTTTCCATGCAACACTCGCATGACCCATGTCACACACATACACAAGGAATTTTCACACCAACCCACACCTCTTTCCAAGCAACACTCAAATGACCCATGTCACACACATACACAAGGAATTTTCACACCAACCCACACCTCTTTCCATGCAACACTCGCATGACCCATGTCACACACATACACAAGGAATTTTCACACCAACCCACACCTCTTTCCATGCAAACACTCGCATGTGTCACACACATACACAAGCTTTTCACACAACCCACACCTCTTTCCATGCAACACTCGCATGACCCATGTCACACACATACACAAGAAATTTTCACACCAACCCACACCTCTTTCCATGCAACACTCGCATGACCCATGTCACACACATACACCAGGAATTTTCACACCAACCCACACCTCTTTCCATGCAACACTCGCATGACCCATGTCACACACATTCACAGCATTTACATTGTGGAATAAATGCTGTTAGTGTTCTTCTTTAACCGTACCTGTGACTCGCCCCCCCCCCCCCCCCCTGCTGTTGTTCAGGTGTAGTCACTGTTATGCTTATATAACAGCTTTGGTACTTTATGTGACTGCACAGCGTGTAGATGGGTCCGTTATGATTAAGTTTTTTAAAAACATTTGTGGGATTGGAAGGCTGAGGAACGCCTTTTTTTTAGTAATTGTGAAGTCACAGCGACACCATCATGATGTCAATTAGCTCCTCATTGGTTGTGTCATCTGCATTTTTATTGCCTTGATAACCTGTCATGCAAAATGTCTGATTTAAATAAAAATGTGTGCGACTTGAGGGGCAACAATATCGCAGCAGTTAGCAGGTTTGCCTGTCCGCTCGATGGTCCTAGGTTTTAAACCCCAGATTTCTACAAAAACTTACCAAGACTCCGCATTTCTTCTACATCTTCTATTCCTCTGCTTTCTTGAGGTGTATGTTTAGAGAATTACAAGAATGCCTTTGTTTAAAATGTTGTTTGCGAAAAGGTCACTTCCCTTGTGTTTTGGTGTACAGTTAGGCTGCAATATCTGCACCTTTTAGGACAACACATCAGACTTTAGAAAAAGAAGAAGATGCAAAAGAAGTCAATCAGTTGGTAAATGAACAAAAGAAAAAAAAAAGCAGCTAACCGTCAGTCCTGGGGACTGTGTTGCCATTTTTGGTAACTGTACTCTGACTGTTAAGTCCAGTGTAGGAATGGCGGTCTCTGCCACACAAAAAAAAACACTTAGACTCTATCAAGTTTCACAAAGAAAGAACAAATAATATTTTTACAATCCAATGAAATTCAATAACAAATAAATTCATTTTTAAAAAAATAGTTTAATAAGTTTTAGGTAATATCTCCTACATATTGAGCAAACATGAGAACAATATAACTAAAAGGGCTTTACATGGACCCCACAAAGGCATAGGAATTTAAAAAAACACGGAGAAGGGAATAAAAGAGTGAAGCTGAAAAGACAGAGTGAAGTGCACATGGTAGCAAAGAACAGGATGATGGTGTGAGTGGTTGAGGGCCTATGCTCCGCTGGGTGATAAAGGACAGAAGAAGAAATATCTCTTTCACTTTATATATTAATTAGTCAAGTGCCTTCTCCACAATAGCAGCGTCCATGGCTTAGGCGTTGCGAGCCCGACTCGTAATTTCAACGCACCAGGATTGAAACCCACTGCTGGCTGCGTGGATTTTAAATCATTGGGCGTTCCAGATTGACCCAGCCTAAAATGGGTACCAGGATGGCTGTCCTGGGGAAGTAATGACAGCTGGCGTAATGCTGACCACGTTACCCACCAAGTGCCGATTGGTCTGTAAAAATATGGGATGCTCTTCCCATATGCCCAATGTGCCTAAGGCATGAAATGGGATCTTCTCTACAATGCTGCAGTGGAGCTGTCTTGTCGAGGTGGCCAGAAAAGTAAGAACCAGAACTTTATATCCCTCAACACCTGAAGCAGTAAAGGGGAAGTAATGAAGAAGAATGCAACAACCCATACTCCGGATGTAACCAATGAATAGCCAACACAACCATTAATGTTATGCTTGTTTTATCTTCTTATTTTCTCTACTCTTGGAATGCCTCGCGGCATCACATCAAGAAGAGATCTCTGGAGCAGGCCCTTCTGTTCTCTTTGTATAAAGTACTTTTCAGTGTCTCTGATATTTCTGTGTTCCATCTTCTGTGTCGTCAACCTCTGCTTGTGTTTCCGCTGTATCTGTATAACACTGCTCTTTGTGGTTCCCTGTCTGATGCTTGTTTTATGTTGGGTCAAAATTCTGCAGGACAACCAATCTGTGTGGTGGAAACTGGTCTCTGCACAATGGGCATTCTTGCTGTAAGAAGACAAAAAAGAAATCTATACACTGTGTTTTGTCATGTCAGCATATCGCAAAACAATGTGAAACTGCTTAAAAAATGGGGTTTGTATCAGGAAGTAAGGGCGGTCTGTATAATAATGACCACAACATATAACAAGTGCTGATTGGTCTATAAAAATAGATATGGCTAACCATTCATCTCTAGGAGACCCAGGTTCAAATCATTGTCAAGGCTGTAGAGTTTTGTCCTGTCAGGGACAAAGATAAACTAATAACCTGCATAGTACTTGGTGACAACACTAGCCATGTGGCTATGAATCCTGAACTATTAGGGCAAAATTACTTGGAAGCTTCAGAGGTGTGGTTTTATAGACAAATGAGGAGACTACCCTAGGGATAAAAAGAGTAAAGAAGATGTCTTGAATAAAATGACTCACGATAAGAAACAAAGTGAGGTTTTAACATGCCACAGCAGCAGTATCTGTCATAAAAAGCTTTACCTTAAATGCCACAGTAAAAAAAAAAAAATCAAATTCTACAAGATACACATCCCCAGTGCCAACCTCTGCCTGAGCAATAACACAACCAACAGCTGGAAATAAGCACAGCAACTTACTTTAGACAGGCACCACTCATGTATACATGACCAGCAGTACAGGTGCCCACAAGGAGTCAGTGTGGTTCTCTTCCGCCTCTCCAGACACAAAGGGACATCTCTCACTTGGTGTGAATCCTACAGAATCTTGTTCGCACTCTGTGTTACTAATTTAAACCAAAATAGAAACACACCTGCGTTAATTACCACACAGAAAATTGAAGTAATTCTGAAGTGACATCACTGTGCTTGGGAGAGGTTCCTTAGGTCTAGCTGAAGTCTAAGGGTGTGGAGGCGGATGATTCTTCTTCTTCTTCTCTTCCATTTTTACCACTTGGGTGTCGAGAGAGATCTCAGGTTCTTCTTCTTGCTCTTGTGGCTGCTTTGATCATACTAGAGTTTTGCCATGTAATTAAAGAAGCTATGGAGGAAGCTGACATACTCCTAATGCATCTGCCACATCTGGTACCCAAAGAGTCCTAGAATGACATGAAAATATCCAATGCCATTCCACAGAAATACTGTAGTCAGATGCTAGCCACATTCGACAGTATGTTGTCTGACATACCAGGCATGACCACAGAAGCAGTGCATCAGATAGAGTTGTTAGTCCACCCTACTATTAGAATCAAGCCGTATGCAATACGTGCATTATCAAACTGCAGTTGATAAGGAAATAAATGATATGGTAAAAATGCGTATTGTTAAACCGTCAAATTCCCTGTATTAATTTCCTATGATTGTTGTTTGGAAAAAAGATGAATTGATCCAAAATTGTATTGACTTCCATAAATTGAATCTGGTTACTGTTGTCAATGCGGAAAGTGTACCGAATATGGAAGATTTGTTTAATTCTATGGGAATAGCTAGGTATTTTAGGAACCTGGACTTAGCTAAAGGATATTGGAAAATTCCTTTATCCCAGGAATCAAATAAATATTCTGCATTTCGCACTGAATTTTGTGGTTTAATGCAATTTTGATATTTAACATTTGGTTTGACCAATGCTCCATCCACTACGCTCATTAGAATGTTGGTTCAGTCACGTGCTGATAACATCCATTACCTAGATGACATACAGTTGTTTCATGACAATTTTCCAGACCATATACATGGGTCAAAAACAATGTTGGAACGCATCAAAGCATTCAGACTCACAATTAGACCAACAAAATTTAAGTGACAATGAAAGAACCTTCCTAGGATATGTGACAAGAGCCCAGATATTTCACGAAAGCGAAGAAGCTATACTCCATGCTGGGAACGATGCACCTGGTTATCGCCAGATGGTTATTCAATCAGGAATAAGTCAGATCTGTAAAACGAATGTGCATGCAAAGCTCATGTTCTGAAACAAGTCTAAAATTTAGAGGTGGGCAAACAACCAGAACTTTCTGCTGAAGCTGACAGCAGTGAATGCAAAGAAGAAGAAGATACAGGTACTGAGGTGGACTCATAGGAACAAAATGCCATGAACCTTGTTGTGTGGAGGCGACACATCAGGAAGGGAATGAGAATGAAGAAAGAAATGAGGAAATGATTGCAGGAAGGATGAGAGCTAAGCGTCTGAGAAGAAACAGACTAAACACAAATGTTAACAACAATGGTCCTGAAATTCCATGCTATAATTGTAGAAAGACTTTTCTTAACGAGGCGGAGAAGGGGTGTTGCTAGTCACATTCGCCATTGCCATGGGCAGTGAGTGCTTTGCCTCTTCACGGCGTAATACAACACTATTGTCTGGAAAGGTGCCAATCTTATCAAATCTATGACCACTGGTAAGATCTTTGAAAAAGAGATAGACAAAGACAATGCAAGAAGATTCTTGATAGCCTTTTGTCATGGCATGGAAAGGTGTTGACATACAAACTGAATGACACAAGCTGTTGAACATCTCAGATTGTGGACAGGCATGATCGTCCATGGCAATTGGCAAGGTATTTGATGGTGATGAGGATAACTGTTTTCTTCTGTCTAAGATGCTAGTCAAACTTACCCTCACCATGCCCTACAAAACCACGACCCTTCCCTACAAAACCATGACCCTTCCCTACAAAACCATGACCCTTCCCTACAAAACCATGACCCTTCCCTACAAAACCACGACCCTTCCCTACAAAACCATGACCCTTCCCTACAAAACCATGACCCTTCCCTACAAAACCATGACCCTTCCCTACAAAACCACGACCCTTCCCTACAAAACCATGACCCTTCCCTACAAAACCATGACCCTTCCCTACAAAACAATCTAGATTATCATATGGAAAGACGGAAAGGTGCCAACAAACCATGCTAGCTGTAGCATAGTATAACAAAACATAAAATAACATCTTAGTAGGGAGTCGGCAGTACGAAACCCAAGTTCAAGGTGTCTCCTTCGTGCCAAAGAACTGCATGGCTGTTGGGTGAACAGTCGTTAACGATGGCAGGCAGGTCGTTATAGGGGCGACGCCTGCTGGTGGATATAATGTCCTAAGTCCCTTCCCCAGCTAATAATGAGGGTACTGCTGGGGTGACCGTTTATTAACCCTCATATAATTCTTCCGGTCAAAATGGACGCTAGGTACGGCCACCTTTTTTATTTTTTTTAAAAGCCGTGGCAAATAATTTTTTTTTTTTAGCCAGACGGTGGCCGTTGCATTTTTGCTCCATTTGGAGACTAGAAGGATGTAGTTTCGTCGCCCAGCTTCTGAGTTGAGTGCATGGCGCGACACTGTGAGCTGCGTTTGTTTTTCGTTGGCACAGGAGCGGCGCATCTGTGGGGTGATCCGTTTGCTATAAATCTGAAACTAGGATTACCAGATTACCAGCTGTAGCATACTTTACACTGTTACTCATAGATCAAGATCCTCATGTAGCAGGTACTTTGCAGAACATCGCTCTCATCACGGTCTGCCTGAAAGAAATTCAGTCTCTTCCCCTAGTGCATTTCCCTAACCAAGGTATCACTAATATCCTGTGCCCATCTTTGTGCTGGTCAGACCCTACTCCTCTTTCTTGGTACCATGCCTTCTGCTATTATTTTTTCCAATTCTCAGTTGCGCTTGAAATGGCCAGATTATTTTAGTTCCCGAGACAAGAAGCTGTTTACTAGACAATCTTCTTTGATGTTCAGATCTTTTAGGACGTCAGCATTTCTCTTCTCTTTGTCCATGGAATTCATAAATCATGTGACTTTTTTTCATGAGAATTATTTCTATACTATTTTCCCTGGCTACTGCGCCTGTTACTCAACACTCTACCTGGCATGGCTTAAGTTCTGACCTTTTCTAAAAAAAATTAAACACTTGAAGAATTAATATCTCACCTGTGAAAGCCTGAAGTCTGGGATGTCTGTTTTTGGTTCTTGAAGGCAAGTACTAAATAAACCAGATGCAGAAGCAAGGACAAAATTAACTGGAAAACAGACAAGTAGCCAAGAATCTTAAATGGTTGCACAGAACTATGGCTTCGATCTCTGGACATATATTGAACCTGTAGAGGAAGGAAAAACTGGCTTATAAAAATGAATGACAATGAAATGTATACAGCAATCACATACATAAATCTCTAGCATGACTAAAGACATAGAACAAAAGTTAAATGCATTCAAAAACAAACAAAAATAAAATGGGATGAATTCAACAGGAGTGAAGAAATAAGAGAAATGTCTAGGCAACCACTGGTATCTGCAGTTATAATTTATGAATCAACATCATAGCACACTAGGCATACCCATGAATGCTTTGTCTCCCACAGAAAATGTCTTATGTCTTAGATGCTAACTGTTCCCACAGCACACAAATTATACACATCATTTTCTTCCTCTCATCTGTCCTTCCTTGCCGGACCCACACTTAATTCTTTGTTCACACATTCTTGCCTATGTTATTTCATCTAATCTCGAGTCTTCTGTCAAAAGTTGTTCATATATGGTCTTTAGAATATCTCCCTTGTCCGGTAGGAGTGTTCCCGTAGCTTTTGGTTTTGTAGCCAGAAAATACGCTCTTTCATTTCCTCGCACTCCTGAATGTCCAGAACAGTATATCCACGTGATTCCTTGCATGATTCTAATGCATGGTATCCACTGATGCCATATAAGTCCATTTTGAGCCTTCTGCAGCAACAGTTATAAGACACAGAAGCTGGCACTACACTGGACACATCCTGAGAAGAAACCAGCAGAGATCACCAAACAGGCATTAACATGAAAAATAAAGAGATTAAAGAGGCAAAGATGCCCAAAAAGAAACCCTAAGAAGAATGCTGATAAAAGAGGCCAAAGATGCTGGACTGGATTCCATCTGTGATACTAAACTGATCGCAGCAGATAGAAAGGAAATGAAGGAATAGATTGTGAGCCCTACATGACATAATATGGCACAACAGGATGATGAATTATGATTTAATGGTGGCTACCATGCATAGTGTCGGCTCTGTGGCTAAGTCAATGCGAACGCTTCGTAATGCCATGCGCCTTGCATTGGTTTCGACAGCGGTATCAGGGGGCTGACCATCCAGAAAGCAATGGCAAACTACTGGATGTAAATTTGCCTAGAGAAACCACACAACAGCCAGGGTCTGCTGGGGTTGGTTCTACAACGTCCTGTTAAGGATACGCAACTAACCAACCAAGCATAGTGCTAACTATAGTATTAGCTTCTATGACACAGGTGGTGTAACTTTATTCATAGCATTATATAAAAAAAAGTTAAAAGTAAGGGACCCTCTTCCACTCTCTTTGGCGTATATGGCTAGACCTATATTTTATAGACCAATCGACACAAGATGGGTGATGGGGTCAGCATCACGCCGGCCGCCTTTACTTCTCGGGACTGCACCCCGTATCCACTCAAGGCTGGGTCGACTCGGAGCCAAGGTCATTTTTGAAAAAAGTAGGGTTCCGCTAGGGAGCGAACCCACGACCTTCCGATCGAGGTGAGCCTCTAGCCGCTCGGCCACGGCGACTCCCATTATCTACTATACTGAAGACTATATGTTTACCACATGCCCTATATTGAAGACTGAAAATGTAGCATCATCCTCTAAAATAAAGACTTTGTTTACAGCATCATCTTCTATAATAAAGACTGTAACTTTGCCTATGGCATCACTCTCTATAATAATGACTGTAACTCTGTTTATATCATCCTCTCTAACAATGAATTATGTAACTCAACTTTAAAATGTAGTTACCAGGGCTTTTTAAAATGGCAGTACGCAATGGTACTCATTGGTAAATTTTAGATAATTTATCAAGAGAAGCAGCACCTTGTTTTTCCAGAAAACACCTGGCAGTTACTCTGTCTGCATAGAAATAACATATGCACATGTTTATGAGAAACAGCTTTACTTTTACAGAAATTCCAAACTTTTTACAGCACATATCTAAATGGAACAATATTCATAGAGAAAAATCATGAGTATTTTCATTGCTAAGTATATTATGCTGGGTGAAAAAATATTAAGCCAGATTTTTTGGCAGGTTTAGATCAAATGTTTAAGATACAATGACTGATACACAAAAACAACAGCTGCTTACAAACAGTTGGCAGATTACACAGAAAGAGTTGTAAAACTTTAGCTGTGTGCACATATCTGGTGGCAAGACAACAAAATATCTAGAATGTTCTTGTGTAGGAACCCACATAATTAGAGAAATTTAAAGGCAGACCAAATAAATTACTGGGTGGAGAAAATTTGAAAATGAGGTGAAAAAAGAGATGACATGGGGTGGACTGCAAACAATGACAGGGTGATGGCTGGAGTTGACTGACAGTGTGTGCTCCACTGTAAGAAAACTTCTTCTATGCGTTCACTGACTACAAACTGGAAAGTCCTACTGTTCATCCACTCTTTGTTCTCCAAAATGAACCCCTGAAACCCACACACAGCGACCTGGGGGGAGGGGATGGAAGAATTGGGGGGGGGGGGGGGGGGAGGGTGGTGTTGGTGAGAACAATAAGTAAATCTATGTGCACATATTTAGATACTAAAATATCCCAAAAAAAAAGAAACAAATTTATATATATTTTTCAGATTTACAAGGACAAGGTACTAAAATACTAACACCCCTTGAATTGAGAATTCAATAGAAGCAAATCCCAGAAACACTACTCAGCCTCATAACATTGTTATATTAGGGTATCTGACGATTAGGAAGTAACCTACTGTCCAATGAATCTTCATAAAAACACATATATTAAAATTATAACCAGAAATAGATAACTGCACTTACATAATGTACTCCGGCTATTCGTTTGGCTAAATGATAGAAGATGCCGTCCATGTAGAAAACAGTCAGGTGAACTCTGTGTATGATTGTTATTAATTTCCGAATGAGTGGAATGATGCGAAGTATTGTCTCTTTTGTGGCAGGTTTCAGTGAGAGCCGACTTGAACTTCGCACATGTCGTTCCAATTTGTCCAGTGTGGCTTGTAGAATATGTGGAGCACACACTTGCAAGATGACCATCAGTGCTCTTCTCTGAGTAAACAAAACAGGAGAAAGGAAACACAGAGTCCTATCAAAATAATAATAAAAAAGCAAATAAAGTAAACACTCAGTAAAGGTTCTTTTTCATGCCCTTGTCACATCGGACATACAGTGCCAGACCTATATTTGTATAGACTAGTTGGCAGTGAATGGGTAATCTGGTCAACATTAGACCCCCTGCCTTTACTTCTCTGGATATTTCCTGGTGCCCATTTAAGGCTGGGTCAACATAGGATCCAAGGTCACTTCTGATAAAATGTTTTGTTACTGTGATCAACATCACTGCACATTTGGAATCCCCATGCGTGCTCAGTCCTCTGATGCAGTAGCTAATCCCAGGTACTTCTACTAACTGTTACCATGAGGAGCTGGTTATAATATCTCACATCTTATCCTCACAAGCTGACATAGTTGTGCTTCACCACGCTTTACTTCCTTGGCACACTGTCATATCAGTATCAGAGATTAGTCATTACCCACTAGCCTAGTCTGTACAACTAACTTTAACTAGCCTGTACAGAGTTAATGATATCATCTCTGCCCATGTTTCTTCCCACATGTGTTGGTGCACTGCTTGCCAGCTGGTCCGTTCATTTATCACCTTTCACTTGGGCCTAGGTGTATAGATCCAGGTTAAGGAGGTTTAAGTGTGATTTTCAAATGCTCTATACCCCTTCAGAGCATATTCTACTTGTTACCATTTTCTGAAGCATGTTCAGCAAGTCTGACATGATTACTTTATGTGGGACTAGTTTTTATTAAAAAGGTGGATTTGACACCCAGACTCTGAGACTGGCAGGCAAGCATCTCCCCTCTAAGTTACTGTGGCTCCCAGATATAAATAAATACTAAAGAAAATGCCATGTGGTATGCCTATAAGGTAAACAAAGAATAGGGTAACAACACTGAATTTACTAAACTTCTTCTGCTTTCCATTTACCGGCTGTAAACTTCAGCGGAAAGCTCTGGTTGTTTGTCTATTTCTGGACTTTAGTTTTGTTCCAGAGCTTCAGTTTTACGTGCACACTCGTTTTACAGATCTGGCTCACTTGTATGCAGACTGCTGGTTACTCATATCTCAGGCAGATATACTTTAACTTTCAGGTCTACGCTTACTACATGCTTGTTAAGGTAGAGTGAGTCTATTCTTTGTTTCAACTACAATAGGGCACTGGACGGAACCCATACAGGGAAATCTATTTGGTGTTGATGTGAGACTGGCTACCTTACCACCTTAAAAAAATGAAACGTTACGCTGTGTCATAATATGTTATCGTAATCAAGGTCTCTGCACATTGGGTATACACAGGCATCTTTAGCCCTCTGATGCAGCAGCCACCCCAAGGTACCTCTATTGATTGCAATATCTGCCAGGTGGTCTACTCGTTCATCCTCTTTCCCTCTAGAAGGCCCAGTGTAGAAATCATAAACAAGTTTACAAAGGTTTGGAAAACAATTCAAAAACAAAGTTCAGCTCAGCTTTAAAGAATACAATGACAATAAAGAGTTAAAGATGCTGCAGTGAATATCTGGATGATACTTCGTTTTTAAATTTGTTAAATTTTCACAGCCCTACCCAATTTAATAATATTTAAGGTCATATGGACAGACACACCTCACTGATAAACTATGTGTTGGTGTGTTACAGAACATCTGAAAACTAATAAAAATTCAAAGAACTCTGGAAGACAAGGATGACCATCAGTATCTCCAAAACTAAAACAATTGTGATCTTAAGTGAGGAGTAGAAATATCAGATCATGTTGGGACGAATATGCACTACAGCAGGTCAACCAGTTCAAATAACTTGAGATAAAACAGACTAGAAAGGAAGCATTAAAGCTGAGTTACCTACTCCAAAAGCAGCAGCTGGGAGTCTTTTCCAGGCTATAAACCGAGGGTTTCTTAGGAAAAGAAAAATTGGCAACAGGATGAGATAGGTCTCTACCTCTGTGCCAGTTCTCATCTGGTATAGAACATAGCCAAAAAGAAACCTGTAAATAGAGAAGTCTGGAGAACCTCTCTGGCAAACCTCTACATTCCAGGGTAGAAGAGTAAACTAAGTCAGATAAAAAGACACAGAAGACAGCATATTTCAGTTAAACATGTAACCACAAATATACACTTACCCATCGTGGTGGCAAAGCTTTCAGTGACTTATCTGTCTGTATAATGTTTACATACTCCTCCCCAACCGTCTGAAGTTCTGAAACAATACCGGACTGTGAGGTGAATAATAAAACACAAAAACTGACAAATGAAAAAGATATGATGGCTTAAATTTTTATTTACCAAAAAATGCATCACACATTAACTGAACTCTAACTTAAATCATCCTCTGGTGTCAAAAGAGTTAACAAAAACAAGCAGGTTCTACAAAGCTCGTAGCAAACATACCAAGCCGACCCATGACAAAAACCCTAACAAGCATTATCTTTATAATTAACATTTACATCAGTGTACACTAAGTCAACATTTTTACATCTAGTTTGAGAATGGAGGTAGAGGCAGTCACAGCAGTCTATTGCTGGCTTGAGAACCAGGTGTACACATATGTAATTGTAACTGACACATTGAGAAAGGTGAAGACAGGTATGTTCCATGCATGCAGAGTGGCAAGCAGTGCTTCTAAGGTCCCCGTAGTAGCGTCCTTTGGATATTTTCTTCAGGTCATGCCGGTGTGTTAAAAAACAAACAAACAGATAGACTGGCTGGTTCTGTATCACTTGGTAGTGAACTGATGTATGACAAGCTAGATGTTGTAAGGATACAGCAAGTGATTCTTTTGGCAGCGGATGAACAGTTAGTTGCGTATCATTTACAGGATGTTGCAGAACCAACCCTAACAGCCCCTGGCTGTTGTGTGGTTTCTCTAGGCAATTTACATCCAGTAGTTTGCCATTGTTTTCTGGACGGTCGGCTTTTTGATTACGGCCTGGGAAATGTATTCCCTGTACTGCTTCTATCTTTCCATGTCTGCTAATTTCTCCTTTATATATATTTAAATACTTCATACACAAAATCAAACGTGTAGATGAATAAATGTTTTCACATTTCAGCGACCTTTGTAATAGGTTCTTTAAGAATTTTGTTTTGGAAATACCTAAGGGTTCATGACTCCCTTTTTATTTTTAGCATTCACAGGGTGAAAGAGTTAAATTGAATATCAGATAATCTATGGGACTGATAGAAAGAAAAAAAAACACTGATAAAAAGGTAAACTAACCATCACAACTTATACGTCATAGTCTAGAAAACGTGAAAGCCTAAGACTTCACGGAACAAACTTTTAGCATTTTACCTGTAAAGTTAAAAAAAAAGGTACAAATTCGATCCCTATTGACCTCATACAGACCATACTTAACTCTTCCACAGTGCTCATACAGTACCTGATAGTGTTGTCAGAAAAAAATAGGCTAGCTCTGCTACAATATCAACATGCCTCCTCCACTGAATCCAAGATCTGGGTCCTACGAGATAAACAGAATAAATACACAATACACCTATTTTTTTTAAAATAATAACAATGAATACAGCTATTGTTACACAGGTAGATAAATTAAAAAATATACTTTAAAAAAATGCACACGCTTAATACTATAACACATAATAAATGTATCCGTCTTATAAATTATTTCATGTGTAAATAACAACAACATTATTATTAATATTATTCTTCTAATATTAATCAAATAATAACTATAATTTATTTTATTGAAATTAAATGAGCACTTTCCCAGTAAAGCGCTTGAGTACCTGCAATTCTTTGAAAAACATCGGTAGTGGCCGATCTAAGCGTGTTTAAGAAGTTATCGTCCTTCTGATGGGAACGAATGATTTCAGCTGATCCTGCAGGCTGAAACATTATCCCATCTGTACAATTACAGTCTTACTGCGGTGCTATGAACTAGCAATGCAATACTTTGGCTTTGGCAGTTGGAAATCGAAAAGAGTAGCCTACAAACGCCGCTCGGGTAAAATTTAGAGTTTAAAATCCACTCAAAATATTTCAAGATCCTCGCCGGTGCTACTGAGTCCGTGCACTGCACTGAGATTCTTCTGACTCAGGCTTGAGTTAGTAGCTAAAACACAAACTTTAACTATTCTTACAGCACAGCTACTGAACACAGATCAAAGTGCATATAGATTATTATAGGGTTCTTGTAAAACCGAAAACGGAAGTAGCCCTTTTATTGTTTTCCTCATCAACAAGATTCTGGAGGCGATCACAGTGACCGCCACACCACAAGAACAAGAGCTATCCGATGGCTTGAATTAATAAATCAAGAATTGAGATCATTATACTCGGGACATTGCCACTCGTGCCTCGTCCCCTTCTTCAGTAGTCAACGAAGATTTGCAATGTTTATAGTACCTGCTGCAACCTAATTAAAAGTCTGTCTCTGTTTTCCCCCCTCAGTGTTAAATATCTCCCAGAGTCGATACACTACGTTAAAATTAATCTTTCAGTGTATGGGTCTGTGATTCTTTTTCCATTCTGTTGCCCTGTCCATTTGATCTCATACATCGGTTGGCTTGAAAACCAGCTGTACACACATGTCGTGATTTTTAACCGACTCACAACGCGTGTTCAGAAAGTGGAAGACAGGCAAATTACGTGCACCGTGGCAAGTATAGATTTAGAGGCACAGGATAGTTATCGTTCTTTGGATATTTTCATTAGATATGGAGGAGTGTTAGAATATGAACAGGCTGGCAGTCTGGTTGGTTCTACACCAGTGGGTGATGAATTTATGGATGGCAAGCTAGACGTGGTCAAGGCTTTTTGCTAGCAAGTGAACGATACAGATGTACGAATCGATTATTATGGACTGGAGAGAATGTTAAGGCTGGGTGTGACCAGCGGATCTGGTCGACACTCTACACTCAGAGGAAAGGCAAATAATCAATCTGCTACAGCACCATCGGAATCAGAACTTTTCGCTGGCTGCTGAAGACGAGGACAGAACGCTTATGGAAATATCCCTAGTGCAGTGATGTCAGTTGTTAGCTCACCACTCAACAAACTAAAGATTCTTTATTGATTTTACATGCAGATATCAAGACTGAAAGAAGATATCACAGATTAGTTTAAATATTTCCAAAGACAGATTAAGAGGTTTCTTTCTAAATCAAAGTGCCTGAGTGGCAAGGAACCATCAATATGCATACAAATAAGCGAAATCTGTAAAACGGACGTGCACGCAACACTCAAGTTCTGGAACACGATTAAAATCCAAAAAAGGACGAACAGCTAGGACTTTCTTTCGGAGCTTAGCTTACAGCTGGTGATCACGAAGAAGAAGAAGAAGTTGCCCGAGCGGCAAAGAACAACCAACTGCACACAAATAAGGCATTTAAACGGACGTACAGCAAAACTCAGGCCCTGGCACAAAGCCAGACTCTTAAGTGAACGAACAACTAGGACTTTCAGTCGGAGCTTACAACCAGGGAACAAAGAAGACGATTCATTCTATGGCAACAATGGTCTTGACATCCCATGATCTAATCGCGGAAGACGTTCCCTAATGCGATAGTCATGTTGCAGTCGCCATCGCCATAGGTTGTGATTCCCATGCTTTGCTACATTACCATACAACACTTCTTTCTTCATCCTGTTGCTGTTAATGCAGAGGTCAACGCTCTCATCGGTGAAATTTCAGACGAAGCAGATGCACTAATCTATACAGATGGATCCGTTATACGCCAAAGAAGAAGCGCATGGGCATTTAAAGCACGCTCAGCGGGCAGAACAGTCAAAGAAGCCAACGGCGCCTTCTCCATGACAACCAGCAGCATGACGATGGAGGTGATGGCAGTGACGCAAGCGCTTGCCTGGCTTGAAACACAAAAATACACCCGCATATGTATACTCAGTGATTCAATGAGTATGATCCGGAGGGTTCAGGCAGGTTCAGTGCGAAGACAATGGTTTGAATCAATTCAGAAGTCCACTGTGCGTGGAGTCACCTTTATTTTTGTTCCGGGACACGCAGGCGTCGATGGAAATGAAAGAGCTGACAGGTTGGCTGGATCCGCTATCACTACCGACGGTCGGCCTATGGATCATGCTGATATTATCAATGCCCTCAGAGAAATGGGAAGGATAGAGGACTTTGGTGGCAGTGAATCCACATCACTCGCCAGAATGGCAGACTTGGGAATTAAGATCGGCACAGCAAAAAACGAGACGCACACCGGACACGTCAGAAGACTTGTTAATCAACATAGAACTGGTACTATTAGCCATCGGACGTTGGGGTTCATACTGAGGGGAGGATCTGAGCACCTATGGACATGTCCGGAGTGCAATGATGATAACCCAACTAACTAACTAACTCCTTTCTTCGTTTTCTTCGTCTTCATCATCATCTTCTTCTTCTTTTTCTTCTTCTTTTTCTTCTTCTTTTTCTTCTTCTTTTTCTTGTTTTGTCGTCTCGCTGATACCAGGTTGTATCCGAGTGTGGTGGTTTTATGCATTTGTTTTGCGCTTTTCGAATGGCATAGGTGATGATGGATGAGTTCATCTTTTTGCAGTTTTCACCGACACCATTTATCCATCTTTGGTTTACCTCTTGCCTTCCTCTCAGATGTTCTACTGTAAAAAATCGTATATGCAGTTTGATCTTGCCGCATTCTCGCTACACAGCCGAACCATTTCATTCTTTTACTGTCAATATATTTCAGACACGATCTTATTTCAACTCTCTCTCTAATGCTGGTATTCGTAACCCAGGCCTTCTTGCGTTGTTAGTGACCTCACAACATTATTTTCTGTTCTAGAGCCTTATTCACTGTGCACGTTAGGCAGCAATAGCATAAAATAGGAATGAAGATTCTATTATCCATGTGTGTGTGCGCGTGTGTGTGTGTGTGTGTGTGTGTGTGTGTGTGTGTGTGTGTGTGTGTTTTAGGAGAGACAATTGCGTGATTTGTAATCATGAATTCTGCTAGTTCAGTCTCTGTGTCTCCCATCCGCCTGATGCACAACGAGCGATACAAACCTTATGAAGTGCCACCATTCGGATAGGAATAACCCGGTCACAATTTCACAGAAACCCAGTTCAACCGTAAGCTTAAATGAGGGCTCCCAACAACAGCTGGGGTGGTGGTTTAAAACAACAACAAAGAAACGTTCCATACTTAGACGGACATCCTATGTAACTTAGTAGCGGTCACCTTATAACATTATTGTATAGAAAGGCAGAAAAATACCAACAACCCACATAGAACTACAGCCTACATCAGGCTGAAGAAGCCAAGACGGCTGCTCCAACTATAACTACTCTGGAGGAATATGGAATTTGCCCAGTTGTCCTTTAGGTTGAGATTCGTGTTATCGCAGACTGGCAGCTCCTTTCACGTAGCACCTGGCAGGAAAGAAAAGGGAGGACGGAGTGACGTTCAAACGCGAATTAACATGAAACAAGAATGCAAAATTTACAATAATAATAATAAAAAAAAAAACATAAAGTATATTACGACGACAGCAACAACAGCAGCAGCAGTGTCGCGAGCCCACGTGGGTAAATACACTGATATAGTGAGGGTGTGGGTTTGAACCTTAACAATGCCCACCCACGTGAGAAACTGGACTAATATCTAAGCTATGTTGATCCTAGACAGTCCTGGATAGCCAAGAATACAGCGAGTGGCTCGTTCCATGAAATGAAAGTTGCTGTACTTGTATCCACAGGAGTAGAAGGAGGGATAGATAGATATCAGGATAAACCCAATGTGATATAATCAAGATACACAGTTAACCCCTCCGTTTTTTCTCCTCTCCTGGCATTACTTAAAAGCCCCCATCAAGTGATTTAAATATTTGTGAGCTGAGGTAAAATAATTGGCACAAAGACACTTGAACTTAAGTACACAATTTACTCAACTATTTTATAACAACATGAACCAGATTTATTGGATAAATCCAACCAAAATAAAATGAACTTGTTTAGGCTAGTAGAGTGAAGTTTGTGTTACTGATAACAGTTTATACATATACTTAACTCCTAGTATGAGAATTCACCGTCGGACAGTTCTCGGCCTATTCTTTTCCAGTTTGTCGTCCTCACTGCTTCAAGCAGGTCGTTACACTCAGACGGTCGGCAAAGAATGGATGCCTACTAGTCCCTGCCCAATGTGGAAACTGGAAATGAAAACACAATGCCAAAAGTTCTGTCTCAAGCTTAGGTTGTAAGCCCAACAGATGGCAGAAAATGGCAGTCTCATTTACCAGTTCTAGCATCACCCTTTTATAACTTTTCTAAGCGCCTCCTACATTATTCCTAAAACCATTCTCATTCAAGGATCTCACAGCTCCTTCCCATGGGTAAGTCTGTTTGCTGTCAGTCAGTGACTGTACAATTGTTTGAATTCCCACGGTCACATTCTCCAGGTTTAATCAAGCTGGTCAAAGTTAATAAACATAGTCACACCTCCAGCCTACTTCAACCTGTCAGGTTGTTTGCTAACAACTCCACCAGACCATTGGCGATCTGGCCTGCACTAAATTTGGGTAACCTCAGGGGGAGATAATGGCAATTAGCCTGAGTTATCTGCTCCTAAAGGTCTGGCTAGAAGATAATTATCTGAAATCTCAGTCACAAAGTCTGAGCTTGGTCAGTCTTATCTCTGTATCTTAACACTTAACGTCTGGGAAAGAGTCTCAGTGTTACATATCACCAGCCGTCCAGAAGAATTAAATGTTTGTTCAGGTCGCCTTACTTAGATTAAGGATGTATCCAAATCCATTCATTTCTGTACACTTTAAAATACATACAAATACAAGTAGGTTGAGGAAAGACACTCTGCAGTCACCGAGCGTATCGTCACAAGCAGCAGCAGCAGAAACAAATTAACAGCAAA